ATTGTTTAAACATTGATTATATTGCACGCAAAATAACGTGAAAGCTACTCACATTTTCTGAAAATTGTACTTGTTTATGTTTCAAGATATGTCTTTCAACATGGCTTTGTTAAGAAAAATCTCTATCTATACCTTTAGTGTTGTAGTTAAAAAATGTACTTTGGCGAAAATCGAAAAAATGGCTTTTGAGCGTTTCTAAAAATGCGGAATTTTGAGGTAGAGTTTTCTAGAAACTTTATATGACATTATTTAAAACACATTAACTCATAAATACAATAATTAGAACAAATTGTCGCTAATATGGTAAATGAGAGCAATATGGCATTTATGTCATCTTATAGAGTACATTTACCACTATCCCTCCCAAAAGTTTAAAGACAAAAGTTGGAACGGTTTTTGAGAAAACTTTGTTTTTTGTAATATTTTTAAAACTGCACATATTACACGCAGTATTGCGCGAAAACTACTAAAATTTCAAAATAAAGTACCTACCCTTAATGAAAGAACTCACTATGGAGAACAAATTTTACTGGCAGGAAAAATCTCTATCTTTAATTTTATAGTTGTAGGATGACACCAAAAAAAATTCAGTCTTTTGCAATTTTCAAAAACGCAGAATTAACCGTGAAAATCCGACCTATGGCACGTTTATTCTATTCTTAAAAGAAATTTAAAGAAAGCATTTGCAGCTGTTTTTGAGAAAATTTTGGAAATGTCCGGGGAACTTCATGTAAAGTACCCCCAAAAACTAATGAATGATTTTCAAAATCTCAAAGATTCGAGTAGAGCCAGATCGACATGGGTTTCTTGTAAAAACGTAAAAAAATCCTACATGGTTTAGGCGCTAATAGTGTTCACACATTACTTATTCACGAATTACTTCGTATTAACGTACGTATACGGGAAAGTAAAAAGGTGATAATAAATTAACTTAATATTGCAAATCGTAGAAAATTAGTAATTAATTAGTTTATTGGTGTTACAGTTATTTATCAACTGTGTATGATGTACTGTGACTTAACACAGTTTCACAGATTGTTTTGACAACGCTTCGCTTGAAACAGTGCTCGCTTCTTGGTTGAAATAGACGTTTTCAAGTAATAGATGAGGTGTTATAAGCGCAGAAAATGTAATATTTCAATATTGCAAACTAGTTGTAGCACCACTAGTTTTTATTATGAGGGTGTTGCGTTTCACGAATATGTTCCTAGAAGTCAGAAGATGAACAAAGATTATTGTCTTTAAGTTATAAAAAGGTTGCGAGTTTAAAAAGAAAAAACGCCGTCAGCTTTGGTCAAGCGGTGACTAGCTCCTTCATTACGATAACACGAAACGCGTGCAGCAATATTTGATAAAGGGCAAGGTCGTATAGCTCCGCCTACAGACCTGACATAGCTCTCTGCGACTTTGTCTGTTCCCTAGATTAAATCTGTTGCTGAAAGGAAATCGATTTGATGGCAAAGAAACAATCGAAACCAATTCGAAGAATGCTGTAAAGGCAATGCCAAAAACGAGTTCCAGGACTTCTTCCAAAAGTGAAAAAGCCATCGGGAGCGTATTGCTTAATCAAATGGATACTACTTTGAAGGACACACCGGCCTGAATGCGTAGAATATCAGCAGCTGGGAAATATGAAGGAAGGTCGGAAACTTTTGGGTTAGACCTCGAATATATGAAATGAAGTACGGTACCCTCTTAAAATTTAAGAAACAATTATTGACAGTTTTTTTTCTCTTGAAAAATGTACATATCAAATCCCGCCTATATGGATTGTTCTTTAGGTACATATTTTTCTATATAAACGAAAACAATTACATTTAGACCATTATATACAAAAAACATTACAATAAAATAATTATTGAGACATGTTATCCCGATCTTCCGTTTTAAATCACCTCCCCACTCCCCTCCAGTGCAGCAGTGGCTACGACAGTATGTTAGCAAAGGTTTTGAGTCACTTGACAATTGTTCTAGTGATGAGGCTTCGTTTCATCTGAAATATGTTAACCTGCAAGTTAACAAAATCTGAGGCACCGATATATTGTAAATAGCAGATAGCCATTTACAATGTCGAAAGATATTGTGCTTCATATTGGGTGTAATATGGTGTATGATATGCAATTTCAAATATTCGACGCTGAATATCGTTTTTGAAGAAACGCAATGAGGATTCATATCAGAATGAAATGTCAATCCATGTCGGAACATACATTATTTTCATATAATTGTCACCACCCTGTCACTTTATTTGAGACGCAATTACGAAGGAAATAAGATACGTAACAGTAAATGCATCCAAGCTGTGACCATCCTGCCCCTATATTGGATGACAATGCTTCGAACAAATTTAATTATTAAATACATGGGTTACTCCGTTACAAGGTCACAGCTTGGATGCATTTACTGTTGAACATAGTTTGGACGTAATTATGTCTCCAATAAGGCGACATGTGGTGACAATTATATGAAATATATATACCTTATTGATGCAAATTTAGTCGTGTAATAGCTTGTTTTAGAACAACGGTACCCTCAAAAACAATAACCAAGTTGTATAATGCAACTACAAAGCGAACATAGCCATATTCAACATGAAAAAAGGAACGTAAATATTGGAAGAAGAGTTTCAGGACTCGTGAGTGTTCAAGGCTGGAATAGACAGTGAATATTTGACATTGGATATTCATAATATAATGTAAAGACAGTTATGATTTGGGACGTGGCCGATTTCAAAACATACTTCTTCGTACTGATTAAAAATATACGATATCTCAAGGCCTTGGTAGACCAAATAAAATAATATTTCAATTTAATGGCATGCCAATAGCTGAAAGTAAAAGTTTGTAAAAATAATATAACAAACCTTGATTAAATTAGTGTTGAAGCAATAAAGGATGTAGATATGTTATTGAAAAAACAAGGATAATTCATTTAATAAACTCCGCAGACCACCCATTTTATTTTTAAGAGAATATGTTTTCAGAGAATATCCAGCCCGTATGGGATAGGACGTCGACCCTTAAGACTGTTGGTGTCGGACATTCAGAAAAATTACAATAAAAATTTAATTGTTTAAAGTTTAAAATATTTTGGAACATAAGTAAGAAACGTTTTCAAAAGGACCTGCTGAGCTTTGCTTGTATTAAATGCCTATATCAAAGGAGGTGCATATAAAAACGTTTCAAAATGGCTTGCCCAACGTGGGTCAAATTGTATCTATAAGTACCCAATTACCTCACCCTCACTTTTGAAGGATTCGTTGTCCTTGCCAGTTGAGTTTTCCGTCGACTAGAAACTAGCAGCCTCTGCCTTTCACTCTCACTTCACGACATGGCGAGGGAGATGGATTTGAGCCTCATTCCCAGAGCACACAACCCGCGCCAGGCCCGTTCCTTCAGGATTGCCGATGCATATTGAGGGTTGCATTTTAAATTACTCACTTAGTATTAAGTAATTACTTAGAATATATCACATTAAAATAATTCGAGTTATTTGGAAAATATTGTGAGAACGTTAATTTTTTATCAACCTCTCTTCATTTCGTTCCTTTTCGTCACACGTATGGTTACCGCATCTCTCCTAATTGCGAACGTACATTTCAAACAAACGTTCGTAAAAAATTGCTTCGCAGAGAACTAATGAATTTGAATTGTAAAATGTATCAGGGACGCAACTAGTAGGGTAGCACATACTTTCTCGCACTATTTGTAACTTTTAAAATTTCAAAAACATCAGTGAGATCAACAAAAAATAAGATGTGCCCATTTTTTAAGCGTTCTGAATCCGAGAAAAAAAAAGAATAAAAACTGGAGTTATTTTTGAAGAAAAATATAAATTGCATTTGCTTGTTGCAAATGTTACGCAAATACACCTCGCATTTTCGAAAAAGTGGACATGACTTTTAAAATTCTGTATTTTAAGAAGATATATTATTTTGGAAAATACTTTTTTTAACACTGCCGTTGTAGGAAATCGCAAAATAAAGTTTGAAATTTTGCTGTTTTTAAAACTTCAGATAGTCAACGAAAATGATATCTTTCAAGCGTTTTTGCTCAGCAGGAAAAAATTAATCAAAATCTTTTTGAAATTTTTTTACCGCAAACCAATTTTTCAGTATCAAAGTGCAACAAAAGATGTGTTATGACTACACAACGTGTTAGAGAAAGTAATTTTACTATTACAAGGTTTATTCGCCTTTTCGACGTAAGGGCGACTTACATTACGATATTTCGGACGAAATATCGCCACCATCCACTACAACATTACAGTACTTTCTCTTTACCAGATTATATCGTAAAAGTCGTGGGAGTAATTTTTCCTCAATTTTTACAAAATTATAAGCATACGTTTTTATTACGAATAATCAATATTATCAGATCCACCGAATATTTATTGTTGTTTTGGGGGATTAAAAAAATATTTTTGATCAAAATTCTTGGTGATTTTGTAAGATTGATTCAAAAAGGATCATCATGAGTATTTTTTATCTTTGTACAACAATAAGATCAGTCGAAAATTAACTGTACGGCAAATCGTTTTGTAAATGTCGTAAATTCCTTATTTCGACAGTTCGTCGAATTTTTTGAATAATTTTATTACTACAGGTATTAAATAAGTTCCTTTATGTTTCTGTTTGTTTTATATGCTTTAAGTTGTATGTACTACTTTTTTTTTAAATGAAAAACAAATTATAAAACAGTATCAAGAAAAATAACATTTGTATTGCTTTGATGAATTGCTCTGAGCGATGGGTTTGTTTGCTTTGGATATTCGTATCTCTCATTATTTGCACTTTAGATATTACAATATAATGGGAGATAACCGAATATAATAATATAAAATATAAAAATAACGAGAGATGATCGAAGAACTTCAGAACTTTCTAAAATAACTGTATCGCTAATGTATGCCAATAAATTTGAATTTTGGATTTGTAAATTTCGCTAGCGAATGCATCATTTCGTCAATCGTATTGTAAACTTGTATATTTTCGGTCGCAGTATGGCTTGTACTCGGCGTTCGCCGGCAGTTTCGTCTACATCATTTTCGGCTCTTGCAAAGAAGTTAATATCGGGCCGACAGCTTTACTTTCGCTGCTCACCGCCTCCTACACGCAAGGCACCCACCCCGACATGGCCGTATTGCTCTGCTTCCTGTCGGGCTGCGTGGAGCTACTATGCGGTGTGTTTCAATTAGGTAAGTGAAATTCGCTTGTATCCGTAGGGCAGTCAGACTCATCCTGTGTTGTTCTTTAGTAGGGCCAGTAGGCCAGTAGGGTATAAGAAAAGAAAGTTCTATATCTATATCTTACACTGTAGATCTATTGACATGGTCGCTAAGTAACGACATTGATATTCTGCGAGGCGGTGGTTTTAGAGATCTGGTGAGACGGTGGTTTCAATGAATTTTCGGTGCCGGTTTTAGTAGTCTAGGTATAGCAAATTAATTTCTTTTACATTTAGGAATCATTAAGTATATGTGTAATTTTTATTATAAGCCAAACACCTCATTCCACTAGGCATGGCAAGTAACATCTACTACTATGAAACTTGATTGATTAATTGATTGATAGTGATTCCAGGCGCGTCAACGACTCAGGTTATTCGTCCCGTAATTGTAGTACATGTTTTTTCTCGGAGAAGTAGCGGTGGTCTTCTTTTGCTGTATGGCGAGATTCGACATCGACCTACCGTCGGCTAGCGTGGGTTTCCCCACCAGGTATCTCCCACAAGGACACCACCCCAGCCGGGTCAAGCTGTAAGCTCCCTAGGTCCGGTCTCACACCATGCGTGGTAATTAGTGTAAGTGTGTGTAAGGGGTAGGGATAGGACAAGGTAGGAAAGATCGCATGCGGTCCGTGGCCCGTTTGTTAGGGTACTGCTCCGGCTATTGCCTGTTCTTGATCATAGAAACCACGGAAAACCACCGCTCAGAGTAGCCGGTCGCCAGTATTGTCCTTCAGACCACAACTGAATTCGACAAGCTAGTGTTGAAAATCCTGCCACTGTCGGAACTCGAACCTAGGACCTCCCGGTCAGAGGGAGTGCAGTGGCATCAGTTGATGCCCTGAGCCATCTCTCCCGGTAATACTATAAAGCTTTTTACAAAATTTTCGAAAGATAAATTTTATTATCTAGAAATACAATTTCTTCCCACATCTTTACTGTCATCTCTTTTTGCAACTGCTCATAAATATGAAATGATCCCCACCCTACATATATAAAGTTACGGCCACTGACACTGAGATTTCCACTCTGACTATCACTAATATTGATTATGTGTGGCACAGGCACTTTCTGTCACTTTCACTGCCACTGCCACTACACTCACTGTCACTTCTACACATTTTCACTGCCACTCACTGTCTCAGGAACTGTCACTGTGAGACCTTGCACTGCCGCCACCACCCTTCGCATTCGCGCTTATCTCCATCCTCATCCCTGCCTCCTCCCTCCGCCCCCGAACTCTTTCCCGTTGTCACTCTCGCTCGACTCAGTCCGTGCCTCAGTTCCCAGCCGTCGCCCTCGCCCTTCTCCTCCCCTCCTCCACATCCGCTTGACTTTTTAACGACGCACGACAGTGCTTGCCCAATCATTGAATATCTGTGCGTGAATGCTCGTTCTGAATGACTGACTGAACGACCTGCGCAGGCTTCCTGGTGGACTTCGTGTCGGCGCCGGTGGTGGCGGGCTTCACGTCGGCCGCCGCGCTCATCATCGCCTGCTCGCAGCTCAAGGGGCTGCTGGGGCTCAGCTTCAGCGCGCACGGCTTCCTCGACACGTGGATCCAGCTGGCGCGCCTCGCGCACCGCTTCCAAGTGGGCGACCTCGCGCTGGGCGCCTGCTGCATCGTCACCCTGCTCTCGCTCAGGGTGAGGCACGCCCAAACGCCATTATTTCTTTTTAACTTAAAGGAAACATACTTCACGGAAAATGTATGAACTTATTCGGTACGTCTCATTTTAAAGTTTTGTTTCATACCTAATATTTTCATTTAGTTTTATTGTATCTTTACATCCGACACGGCAAGTTCGCTGGCAAGGTAACAGGTTAACTAGAGCTCGCGGGCACTGCGTCCAGAGAAATTGGCGCTTGATTTAAAAGAAGGGTTGTACAAATGGATCCGGAGTGGCGGTACGACACTGGATACTTGGCTCATGAGAGTGTTTCGGAGAAGTTACTTGACAGTTATTATAAAAAATGTAGCTATGAATTCGCATTGTCTCTTTCAAGGAAATAAATGACTCAATAATATGAAATAATATATCAGCGAGATTTCAAATTCTCAATTGAGTAAAATTAAACATTTTGAATCGAAAGTATCTTGACTTTGTAATAGTGTTTACGTAAGAGTGATATAATAATATTTACTTTACTTTCAGGTTAGAAGTTTTAACAGGCAAAGATTCTTGTTCGTTAAAAGCGCTGTCCGTCTGTAAGCGAGAATTGTTAACTCATAAAGACTTGTTAATTTATTTCACATTATTGCCAAGTACTCTTGATAGCACATTTTGTGGGCGATGCCCTATGAGATGAAATCTGGCTTTTCCATAGCTTGTACATCTACCACTGGACGCATGCCCTATCCTGGAGTCTATGCCAAGTGGCTCTTATCATTGGCTTTGGCTCCAAGTTTCTGACACTTCCCCCTCCCTCCCCTCGAAGATTTTCCTCCTCGTTATCTCAAAGGGGCTATGCAATTTCTGAGGTGTAAATGACGTCAGTGACGCTGCCTCGCTACCGTGGGGAGAGGGAAAGGGAAGAGGAGAGGGCACGAAAGTGAGTCGGAATAGAAGGGATTGGTAATCGCGGGCGCGAGAACCAACCCGCCAATTCCATTGCCAAGGCATGGGAACGCTGACGAACCACATGGCAGCCGGCCACGGGGAGGAGCGATGGATTTTTTCGAATTCTTTACCGTGAATAATACGCCTAATTTATGGTATATATTACAGCGATGAATTTTACGTCAGAATAAACTGATACTAGGTAAGAGGTAAAAGATTTGTTTCTTATAAAAAAAATAATAAAATGGTTGCAAAGCAAGAAACGCCAAATATTGTATAATCATTTCCGGGAAACACCCAACGATATAATACATTATTTACTTATATAAACACTTCATATCAAATACATTGAAATTCATGATATTTTTAAAACAATTTGTATTTTAACGTTACTACACCTTTATTATTGATATGCAAGCAATTCACAAACTTTGTTACGCGTTATGCGTTTGAAATCGCCCACGTTAGGGTTTAACGAAAACAATGTTTTCGTTAATTAAAACTAGTGGGTGTCTGAACAATTGAGCATTGCCTCACTTTTGGCATGCAGTGCATCTCAAAGCAAATGCCTTTACCAATTCCTGTCTAAAATATTATTTGTTCTAATGTATCGAATTCGTAATCGAAAACTCAAATATAGTCATTTTTGTTGCATTCTTCCACATTTTTCCACACAAGGCATTTCATCCCACTGTGCGTCATTCTCGCGCAACTTTTCTTGAAATAGATTGAATTTTTTTGTTAAAAAAAACTTTTCTTGAACGATGGATTGAAGAAATGCGGGTAGCGGATATTCGTTACGAAATCGGCTACTGGATTTACTGAAGCAATGCCAATCTCTGGAGAATCAGTCATGCTTTCGCAACGTTTTCAATAATTTGCGTTCTAACTTTCTCAGGAATTCAAGGTATCTTCTGTGATAGATGTTTACCTGCTCATATATTTACATTTTGGGGAAAATAACGGGTAGAAGTGCTCGTTTTCAAAAAGAAATTGTTTCTATTTCGCGCCAGTGAAGATGTGTTTGGAATGTTGTCATCAGTGCTTGCTGCGAGCTTTTGCCTTCATCTGTTATTGCCCAGGAGGGGAAGCAAGCTCAGCGTTCAAGAAAAGTTGCCTGCGAGTAATATCTCTTTCACAATGTATGGCTGTAGAAATTGCCACAAAATAAAATCAGAAAAATGGAATTCTGAGATTTAGAAATAAAATCTGAAAAATATTCATATTATTTTACGCAATTACTTCAATTCTTATTATTAGTACGAATTTTGTACCCTTTTGCTGTTAATTTATTATATTATTATTATTATTATTATTATTATTATTATTATTATTATTATTATTATTATTATATGCGTATCGGCCATTTCTGACCACCCTACACGATCAACGTGTGTAACTATTAGAATGAGCTTTTCAGCTGTATCCCTTGGTAAGGCAAGATTGTTACGCTTTGAATTGTGAATTATGATGAGGTAGGATGATGATGAGGGGTAAAGGCACAATCACAAATACGGCCATGCCTAAGCCGGACTCGAAACGGCAGTCTCGCCGGCGAAAACGGTAGCTGTCGCTACATTTTCTGCGGCAGGGGACCGGCTTTTGGAGGATGATGATGATTATGATGATGATTATTATTATTGTTATTGCCATTGTTGTTATTATTGTTATTGTTATTGCTGATATTGCTGTTATTGTTGTTATTGCTGTTATTGTTGTTATTGCTCGTATTGTTGTTATTGCTCGTATTGTTGTTATTGTTATTATTGTTATTTTTCTGACATATTTTCCTTGGTCCCTGCAACAAATGTTGATAGTGTGGCCTCCCCGTCTTTGAGCATTTTAATGTTGGGTGATCGTGTGGGCTTTGCGTTGCAGCAACTGAAGGACGTGAAGCTGCGGCGGTGCGCGGGCGGCGAGGCCGCGGGCGAGAGCGAAGGCGAGGGCGACGGCGACGGCGAGGGCAAGGCCAAGGCCAAGGCCAAGCGGCCGTGGGGCGAGCGCGCCCTGTGGTTCATCTCGACAGCGCGCAATGCGATGGTGGTGGTGACGTGCGCCGCCATCGCCTATGCCCTCGAAGCCCAGGGCACGCTGCCCTTCATGCTCGCAGGTACGTGTGGGAGAAGTTTGTCTTCGCCTTGAATGCTCCCAGTCGCTATTCGCCTATGTACTTCGCAAATTTCTCGCCCAAAATGGCTGAGGTAGCTCAGCAGCAAACCAGTTGGCTCTGCAGCATTTTAATTGATATTAAAACAAACAAATAATCAGAAAAATAAAATAAATGCATAAATGCATAAATGCATAAATGCATAAATGCATAAATGCATAAATGCATAAATGCATAAATGCGTAAATGCATAAATGCGTAAATGCATAAATGCATAAATGCATACTTAGCCTTTTTGGTGGCCTGGATTTCAAGGGTTGTCTAATTTTGGCGTTCTGAATTGAAGTGGGTTACTATTTTCTATCATCCCAGGTTTTCTATACTACGGAGTGGAATATTACATTTTGTTTACTTTTTTGTTATGCATTTCAATAACTGAATCACTTGAGATCATAAACAAATATGCTAAAAGTGGGCAGATTTATAAAAAAAATGTTTATATTATTATTATTATTATTATTATTATTATTATTATTATTATTATTATTATTATGTTTTTGTCAATAAAATTGCAGTATTTAATAGGAAAATCTAGCCGTTCATTTTACATCCCAAACCAGCATCACGTAGTAGATTTATGCCAGGAAGAGCCGATAATATCATTCTGAAACCATTAAAACAATCCAGCACCAGTTAATTATACAGTGGACCAGACTTACCTGCACCACACTGAAACGTGTAATCACAGCAAAAAATGTCACCAAGTATTTTAAAATACTATAGTTATATTATGAGTCACATATTTTTTCCAATCTCATGTATAAGGCTTCCAGTAAATTCACAAAAATACATTTCGCCTGAGGCAGACGTGTCGTCGATAACGCCTTAATGCGCTTGAACACTTTAAAGCGTTCTGAAATGATGAGCTTTTTTTGTCGTCGGTACACGGAGAAGCAATGTTTCTTTTCTTCTCTGCCGTCTGTACCAGCAATCGTGGACCCAGACGGTCGTTGCTGCAGCTATGTGCAGGCTAGGGGCGACCGCTGCTTGAAATGCAGATAAGAGGTGCGATAAGAGGGGCGCGCATCTGCGTGGGTTGGCGGCACGTAGCGTGACTCACGCCATCCTAGTTGCGCTTGAGCTCGGTCCAGCGCTAGGCGCAGAATGGATACACCACTACACAGAAGAACATAGTGGTTTGTGGGTTACGAGTAAGATTTTGCACAAATATTTCATACATTATTTTTCTTCATCAGGTGATGCATATAGTGCTACCTTTTGGTACGGAAGAGATCGGACAGCTACGCAAGGCCTAAGTCTCAATCAATCACATATAAACTGTAGCAGTAGCTGGTTAATTCAGTAGTCAGAGGGCTTGAATGAAGCTGAAAGAATGTCGATGAGTGGACACGTCACAGCGCTGGTTCGTTACAGCTCTGGTTAAAGTAATTGTTCAAGCGCGAGTCTCCTGTGTTCGCTAGATGTATTTTGTCGTATAACTGCGTTTGAAATTATGCGTTACACATAATCAGGGTTGTTGAAAGTAAATTGCGTTGGCCGATGACCGGAACCTCGTTGTCCAACTCGGAAATGCTTAGCGATGCATTAGCTAAGGAACCTGCATTTGATGGTAAATTATGTAAATAGACATTTATAACTTACACAGAAAATGCCGCTACTAGACAACTCTCTCACCATTCATGTACTTCTCAACAGCATTCTGATTCCAATTTATCACATGTTATGCTCTATTTCACGTCACCGTAACTTTACCTAGCTTCTTGAAGTTGGTTAATATGCACTTCACCGGACTTAAGTCCGAAGGCTTTCTTCAAAGCTGTTTCTATTTAGAATTTTATGCCCCCTCTTTCGATTAGTTTAACCAGCTAATTCGCGGAACACCTTGATTCGAACATTAGCACTTAGTATGGTGAGTTCATGACAATAGAGTTATTTTACAGATTCTAAAACACTTGAGCATCGCTAAAACCACATCGTTCTGCAAATTCTCCCGTCAGGTAGGTGAGACGAGCGCCAGTTGTTAATTCCTCGACGTGTCAGTTCAGTATATGCAGTCAAGTCAGAGATTAGGGATAGTTTGCACGAACAATTTACGATGTTCCGATACTGTTTCTAAAAATAATTATGAAAAGCAGATGAGAATGTATGTGTGCGAATTAAGTCATCAACCGAATGTAAGGCTAAAAGGCATAAAATACCGAATTTCAAAGTGCCTGGATGTATACTTTCATCGCGCTTTTCATTAAAATTGCATTAAGACAAAATTTTAATCAAAGAATATTCCGTGTAAATCATATTTCCTCAAAACGAAATGTTGTACTGCACTTTTCTTGTATTAGCTACATCCATACATTAATTTCATGCAAATATTCCCTAGTTGGCAAAATAACAAAAATCATATGGAGTACAACGTTTGTGAAATGAATGCGAATCATTTCCATGTGTTACGCAATCGGTGTAGAAAAACGTGGATGACATGTCTGAACAGAGCAGTACGTATCCCATTTGAGTGTGTGTGTGTGTGAGAGAGAGAGAGAGCGAGAGAGAGAAGCGGAGAGAGAGAGCGAGAGAGAGAGCGAGGAGAGCGAGAGAGAAGAAGCGGGAGACGAGAGAGAGCGAGAGAGAGAGAGCCGAGAGAGAGAGCGACGAGAGAGCGAGAGAGAGCGAGAGAGAGCGAGAGAGAGCGAGAGAGAGCGAGAGAGAGAGCGAGAGAGAGAGCGAGAGAGAGAGCGCAGAGAGAGAGCCGAGAGAGAGAGCGAGAGAGAGAGAGCAGAGAGAGAGAGCGAGAGAGAGAGCGAGAGAGAGAGCCGAGAGAGAGAGAGAGAGAGATGCGAGAGAGAGAGCGAGAGAGAGAGAGAGAGAGCAGAGAGCGGAGGAGAGAGGAGCGAGAGAGAGCAGAAGAGAGCGAGAAGAGAGCGAGAGAGAGAGCGAGAGAGAGAGCGAGGAGAGAGAGCGAAGAGAGAGAGCGAGAAGAGAGCGAGAGAAGCGACGAGAGAGAGCGAGAGAGAGCGAGAGAGAGAGCGAGAGAGAGAAGCGGAGAGAGAGAGCAGAGAGAGAGAGAGAGAGAGCGAGAGAAGACGAGAGAGAGAGAGAGCGACGAGAGAGAGAGCGAGAGAGAGAGCGAGAGAGAGAGCGAGAGAGAGAGCGGAGAAGAGCGAGAGAAGAGAGCGAGAGAGAGAGCGAGAGAGAGAGCGAGAGAGAGAGCGAGAGAGAGAGCGAGAGAGAGAGCGAGAGAGCGAGAGAGAGAGCGAGAGAGAGAGGGAGAGAGAGAGCGAGAGAGAGAGCGAGAGAGAGAGCGAGAGGGGGAGAGGGGGAGACGATGTGCTGTGTGCGCAGGTTGTGGGGCCGCTGGTCTCGCCGCCACGCGCTCCTCGCCCTTCGACTTCCCGCGGAGGGACCCCGCCGCCGCCGCCGCTGCCGCCGCCGCCGCCGCCGCAGCCTGCAACAGTAATCCCCCTCTTGCCTAGTGGCGGCTGCTCCTTGAGGACTCCTGAGAGCCGCCCTCCCCACACAGATCAAACACACACAATTTGCAGAACGAAATAAGCTTCTTCTAAATTCACTCGATTAATTTGTGCGTGCCACCAACGCAAGTTTTTGAGAGCGAATTTAATTTCGTGCTTCTGCGTAAGGGGATGATCAGTGTTTTTAAAGTATCCCGCCCTAACGAGATCTCACTTTCTCCAAGCCAGACAGATCGGATATAGTTAACTGAGATCAACATCTGCCGGAGAAAGTGAGAGTCAAATTCCAGGAGTACGAACGTAATTGGGGAGCGGTCGGGAGGTGCGCCTGCTAAATGGTCCCTAGATCCACGTCGGAGGTTTATATGCAAATCTGTTAGGAGTATAAATATAATAATATGTTTTGAAACTTGACTAAATCACGGAGTATCGCGTCGCCATCCGTAGCTGGTACATGCTAAGCGGATTAAAATTCCGTTGCTTGAAAACCGACAGTTAAATGCGTGCCTCGTTCAGGAAATATTCTGTAGGTCAAAATGCACGATTGTGTGGAGGCACCTCCTAATTCGTGCCCCGCCTGCCGCCTTTGCTCTTGCCTCTTTCTGCAAGACCTCCACTGCCATGCATAACGCGTTCTTAACACATACAACCAGAAGCGCAACCGGGCCGAATTGAAGGTTTCTTCTAAAGAATTTTCATTTATGCTTAAAATAAAATCTGTTGTTATTTGTTGACTTATAATTAATGTTTACCACGTAAACACGTATTAAATTAATTTACTTTCTTCAGTACAGAAAATTAGTGAAAGCTTTATTTTACTTTCTCACATTTCGTAAGAAAAAGAATTATTGCTATCGTGCGCCGGAAATCGTCTAATTTTCGGTAGAAAACTTATTGACGGGCCCTGGTTACTAAAAACTCCCGTTCGCATACACAGTGTTTTCAAGAACGTTCCGGGACTACAGCTCTTACAACAATACAAGTGGCGCTAATTCTCAGCAACAAAAATATCCACGTAGCACTATCCTTCTGAAATGGCCTCCTAAAATTTCATTCATTTCCGACGAGTTTCGACTTGTCAATGTTCAGTTGTGTGAAGATTAGGTGTGTACTGATGTCATTGTGAAGGGATGGAACAGCAAATAAACAACAAATTTAGCTTAAAATTGGGGAAACCGGCCAGAGGTACTTATTACATTATTAAATATGTGTACGGGCATGATGCTATGTGCCTTTGACGAGTGCTTGAATGAAATTCGATGTTCAAATGTGGAAGATAATCTACGGAAGATGATGAGAGATCAAGATTATCTAACGAAAATGATGAGCGTGTACTAGCGTTGATAAAGTCAAACTGCCGAATGATAATAGAAGAAATTGTCAATTCGTTGAAGTTGAGTGTAGGACCGTTTTTTACAATCATGCCAGATTTAAAAACTGAAGAAACTTCGTGCCCATTTGTTCCGCACGCCCTCACTCCTGAGCAAAAAGAACTGCGAAGTGGCAATTGGTGTATCTTGCACGTCAACACACGCCGTCTCACACGTCCATCATTGTGCAGCAATATTTGGCAAGAAGTCGGAGTTAGCGTCAAACACACTTTACATTCTCCAGATGTATTCCATACTGATTATTTTTCGTTCCCAAAGAAGATGAAGGGATGCGGTACGCGTCGGTACAACCGATCCAAGAAGCAGTGACAACAGAACTAAACAGTGCTGAAAGAGGGTCATTTCAGAAGGCGTTTGAGGACCTATACACTCGTTCCAAGCGTAGTGAATTACAAGGATTCTGTGCAGAAGCTTGATACCAAATATATATATATATATATATTATATATATTATATATATGTATCCTCTGTGTTATATTGTCTGAATGTCAATAGTCCTGTATCCTTTTGAATACACTATGTAAATAGTACACTACTTCCTCTAAAATGTGTTGTAGATAGAATCAATGTTATATGGGTAATTGATACCGAAAAATCGATTGAGGCAAAAGTCTATCTGTCCGCCCCTTCAATGGTTAGGCTAGCACCTAGCACCTAGCAAAATATTTCCGAAATTGATAATCCCCGATTGATCTGAACAAAATCGAGGCTTTGGGAGTTTCAAATTAATGTTTTAATTTTTAAAGGTACTTTACATGAAGCCTCAAAAACATTTAAAAATGTTCTAAAAAATTACACCAAATTGTTTGATTAAACTTTGTACTCGACGTTAAGAGAATAATTCTGTATTTATGTTCGTTGAAATCTATGATTTTTCGAAAATTGCAAAACTGCATTTTTTTGGGGGTGGCTTGCCACAAATGCGGTTTCGAAGACCTTGTTTTGGTCTTTACCGATATTAGTTCTTTAAAGACAGATCTTGATATAAAGTAAAGGTTAATATTTCGAAAATATTAGTAGATTTTCTGTAATCGTGCACGAAATATAGGCAATTAAAAGAATTTAACGTTTTGGTATCAAAAACAGCTCAATGTTTTTTTTGTTTTTTTTTAATTTGCTCCTCGTATGTTTCAAGTGGTAGTACAAAATATGGTGCTAGTTCCATTTTAGGCGAACTCTTTTTATTTTCAAACATTGTCAAAAGTTAACATTTTGAAACTACAAAATGAATGATAGACATTTTTGCCGTAGACAAAGTCTGTATTAAAAAAAACAGGTCTTTGAAAAATCAGTATAAGTATTTCAAAAAAGGAGTAGATTTTGAGTAATTTGTGTGTAAAAATCAAAATACCGGTTTGAAACAACCCTTAGCATCGAATTCGTTCAGATCGATCGCGGAATATCAATTTTGGAGAAAATCGGCTGACAAGTTTAGGTGCTAGCATTGACCGCAGACGGACGGACAGACCGTCGTTTTGCCGTTAATCTATTTTTCGATATCAAGGACTCACGTGGCTACACCACGTGTTAGAGGAAGTAATTTGCTTTATACAGGAACAGGATTTATCAAAATTTTCATTAACAAGGCTTGGCAATAGTGCGTTTTACGGCGCACAATTACGTAGTTCTCTCGTTCTTACGTAGTAGCCCGAGAAAGTAAAAGGGGGCGCTTGGCCAGTTCATTGAGAACTTAGAATATAAATAGTTTTATCTTGGTGAACATAACAATTTGTAATGAAAGTATTTATAGTAGAAATTGCAGATGAAAAGCTACTGTCATTAGTATATTAGAATATTTGTTATAATTTCGTACATTAGTGTCAAAGTACTGTTGAAAATATTGCTGGAACGAAAAAAACAGTAGTTGTGTTTCACTTCACAGAATAACTATTTTCTTAGAACCAGCTATAAAATTTGCACGCCCAGAATATCACAATTGCGCACTATTCGATGATGAATTAAAATTTTATTTTCCATTAATATTTTATATATTTATATCGTAACTATCAAGAAATTCAATGAGTGTAATCAAACTTGTACGAAACTCAAGCTTTCATAATTATTTTCATTTATAGCCAATAGATTTAATATTGGGGAAAAGGGTTTTATATTTTTCTTAATTTTTGTGTGTCATAAAGACGATTGGATATAAAAAGTACACCTTGAGGTGTTTCGGACTTTTCGAAGGTCATATCGACGCCGGCCTGCCCGTCGTCTCCCCTCCGCCCTTTGAGACATCTTGGAGCAACCGCACCTACACCTTCCCTGAGATGGTGGCACGTCTGGGCTCCGGGGTTGCTGTGGTGCCTGTGGTTGCCATCTTGGGAAACGTCGCCATTGCTAAGGCTTTCGGTGAGCTTGGTCATCTTATTTCTTTCCCAGAAAACTTGCAAGCTGTTATTCCTTATGACAATCATTCGTTCCTGGAACTGAGGAAATGAAGAATTAAGGGAACGTCCTGATTTTTCGAGTACTTTCTCGTTCCGAAAAATTTGTTGGGACACCAAAAATATCCAATAATTGTTTCGTCCCGTTTTTTCAATATTGAATACTATGACTAGAATAATATGCTAAATACAGTTTAATACTTAATATCACGCGATAAATCAAACTAGGGGATTTTGCACGCCCTCCTGTACTACGCACAACTTGTAGGGCTGGTGAGTTTTTAATGTGTTTATGACCTAACCTCTCGAAACACATCTTTGAAGTAAAACTTTGTTTTTTGCTTATACAAAGACGTTGCATCGAGTCGTAGCGAATAAGTTGTTATATTCAAAACAAAAGAAGAAAAAGTCGCTAACTGTTTTTATTCCCAACAGCTTTCGAGTTAATCATAAGCAAAACTGAAAATGTGAAGAAATCTGTTTTCTTTCCTCACGTTTTTCGACAAACTTGGCCCTCTTGCACCTAAGCACTTCCTTATGCAGAGATATCTTCAAACTAAAAATTATAGATATCGAAATTTCCTTAAAAATGAGTAATTATTTGCTATTCCTTTTTCAAAAAACAAAAAATATAGAATTTAAAATCTTACGACAGTTTTAAAACACTTTTTGCCCGTCCTGATCACAAGTAAAATATTTAAGAATGTCTAAGAAACCTCTTTTTTCTTATTTTAGTCAATGACAAGTTTGATTATATATTATGAATCAGAAAAAATATTATATTCTTGGTCTCATGATTTCGCAACACATTCAGATTAAAGTTTTCTTCTCTTTTCGTTTAAACCATGTGTGAATCCTACTGCGCGGGGCCTACGTTGGCGCGTGCCCCTCGCGATGAAGCGCTCATCTTGCAGCTCATCTTGTCGCGACGTGTCGTGAGCCTACAGAGTCACGTGTGTGCGCCTGTCCACAGCGAGCGGCGCGCGCGTGGACGCGACGCAGGAGATGGTGACGCTGGGACTGTGCAACGTAGCAGGCTCCTTCTTCCGCTCCATGCCCGTGTGCGGCTCCTTTTCGCGCAGCGCCGTCAACAACGCCAGCGGCGTACGCACCCCGCTCGGCGGTCTCTACACAGGTGAGCCTCAACACCCGCTCGGTCGCCTCTCGCAGGTAAGCCTCAACACCCGCTCGGTCGCCTCTCACAGGTGAGCCTCAACACCCGCTCGGTCGCCTCTCACAGGTGAGCCTCAACATCCGCTCGGTCGCCTCTCGCAGGTGAGTCTCAAGACCCGCTCGATCGCCTCTCACAGGTGAGCCTCAACACCCGCTCGGTCGCCTCTACCCACTTGAGTCTCAACAGCCGCTTGGTCGTCTCTCAAAGGTGAGCCTTACCACCCGTTCGGTGGCCTCACACAGGTGACCTTCAACACCCTATCTCCCCTCTCGCATACGTACATGCACTACACTACGACACTTCGGGTAGCAGGAGGGAGCTTAAATCTGGCCCCACTGGTTCGGTGTCCTTCTTGGAGGGACACCTGGGGAACCCATTGGGAGAGGCTTTGAAGGAGCTCGTGGGCGTGTGCGCAGGCGTGTTGGTGCTGCTGGCTCTAAGCTTGCTGACGCCCTACTTCTACTACATCCCCCGCGCCACGCTGTCCTCCGTCATCATCTGCGCCGTCATCTTCATGGTGGAGGCGGGCACCGTCATGCCCATCTGGCGCTCCAACAGTAAGTGCAACACTTCACTACAAAACACTCGAGAACTGTTTATATGATGTAAATACATTGTCAAGGTGGTAGAAACATACAATGCCAAGAAAATTTTGAATTTTAAAATTTGTTAGCTGCTTACATGCACAATTAGAAATTATCTAAATACAGAGGCACGAGGGTTAATATAGCTAAAACACACATTAGTTACAAATCAACTTTATTTTCAGTATCTTTTAACTCTTCCTAATATAATAATGATCAACTTATAGTTAATTATAAACACGAACTTCTAACCAACTGATGGTAATTTTTATCATAATACCTTTGAAATTTTCGGTAATAAAGTAGATACTGCAGATTGGCAGATTCGGACAAATTCAGTGGAATGTCAGCTTTGCTTTCGGCTTAAGCAGGCTTAAGCATTTTAACTTCAGTACATATATCCACGATGTTCCCGTTATGTAATAGAAAATTGACCAGAAACCAATGAACCGATTTATCGTACATAGATTTTTTCGATACCATAAAGTAAGGATTTTTCATGAACTTTATAAAAAATAATAAATAGAAAATCGATGTAGATCAACCAATTAATTTTGTCAAACTTTCGATATTGACTCATAATGATTTTTGAAAACTGAAAATTTAATTCATTAGTTCAAGACGTACCTCTAAGACAAATTTTCTCAAATGCTAATTTTGGGAACGAAGGGAAGAAGGGAACAGTGTGAATCACGTTCTCACCGTTCAGGATTTCGCTCTCTCGCAGTAAACGATTTTCATCGTAATTTGAAAACAAATCCAGTTATCGATGTGACACATTAACATACATTGGGGTGGGTGTACATAGAATAAATTAAATTTGTTTAAAAAATGTAATTTTTGTGCTCAGATAGCTCAACCCATCCCCTTCAAGAAAGTTTATGTAACTGAATGAAAAAGGATAAAAAATTAAGAATAATGTATTGCCTATATTCATTAAAATAATTATTTAAAGTTTTAGTGTAGAATTAATCGCATAAAAATAAAATATTGAATAGATACAAGGTCTGTCCCAAAAGTAAGTTGAATGACCTTGCGCCGCCGAAGCAAGCCCCTAGCAAGGGGCGCCAAGTGACGTGAATGGTTGTGTGGGGTTTAGGGAAGCCAAGGATAAACACGTCAGTTGTCTGCAGGCTCTTCCACAGTGCGCATCGCTGCTAGAACACTTGTGTTAGGGACGCGTCGGAATTTTAAGATGCCACGTTTCAAGGACCAGCGTTACGCAATAAAATTTTGTGTTGCGCTCAAGAAAACGGGCGCTCAGACCGTTGCCATGCTAAGGGAAGCTTATGGCGATAGCACCATGTCCAACAATATGGTTTACCGCTGGCACAAGATGTTTCGAGAGGGCAGAGAGGACGCCGAGGATGAAGACCGATCTGGACGCCCGTCAACGTCACATTTCGATCAAAATGTGAAGAAAGCGAGGGACATGCTGAACTCTAATCGACGCCTGAGTGATAGAATGCTGGCAGATGAGTATAATATCCCTAAAAGTACTGTGCATCGCATTGTTACCGAAGATTTGAGCATGCGTAAGATCTGTGCGAAGATGGTCCCCAAGGTGTTTTCCGATGAACAGAAGGCTGATCGAGCAAGGATTTCGCGTGACCTCTTGGAGCAGTGTGAAAATGATCCGAATTGTTTGGATAATGTGATTACGGGTGACGAAACATTGGTTTTCGAGTATGACCCAGAGACCAAAAGACAAAGTGCTGAGTGGCAAACGCCAGTTTCCACGCGCTCAAAAAGGCGAGAATGAGCAAGTCCCGTGTAAAGTCCATGCTCATCGTGTTTTTCGGCAAAAGAGGCATTGTCCACTCAGAGTTTGTGCCACAAGGACAAACAGTGAACAGTCATTTTTACTTGCAAGTCCTGAAATGACTCCAAAGCAGAGTGAAACGCGTCAGGAAGGAGATCGCCAGCACTTGGCGTCTTCACCATGGCAACGCGCCGTCGCACACCTCCTTCATTATTAGAGTACTTAGCGAAACGCGGTGTGGCAACATTGCCCCAGCCACCGTACAACCCCGACTTGGCACCACTGGACTTCTTTTTGTTCCCGAGGATCAAGAAAGAACTCAAGGGCCTTCATTTCGGGACTTTGAAAGCTGTCAAAGAAGCAACGACGAGATGCTTGAAGGAGGTCTCCGTCGACGCCTTCCAGGGTGCGTTCAGCGACTGGGAAAAACGCTGGCGCAGGTGTTCCGACGCGGAAGGAAGCTACTTTGAAGAATTTTAGTTACTTGTATATTTATCTGCAATAAATATTTTTTCTTGGACTTATTCAACTTACTTTTGGGACAGACCTTGTAAGTGAAAGTGTGAATGTCATACGACTCATGCAAAAGGATCCGTTTCCCAACAATTGTTTGGAATTGTATCAACCGTATTGTTATTATCCTTTCTTGACAATCGATCTAACCGGTAGAAATGAAGTTTTCTGATTTGGTTGAATGCGTTTTACTCTCCATATTCTCTAAAGAGGAAGAGTCAGTTTCGTAGCGATCAAGGGGTCAACTTTCCACAGTTGGACACTGAGGATGCATTTTCAGTCACTTCTTGCGGTATTTGTGGTGGAGTCATGGCAGGTATCTTCGCGTTCTGTCGATCCTCGTGCCATTCACTCCACTGATTCATTACCTATATCAAGATTTTTAGCTATTTATCACGTTCCCTGGTGTGAGACAACGTTTGTGTGATGATAACTTTAATAAATAAATACATAGATTATTAAAATTAAGAAATTACTTGACCGCTAATACATGACCCCGTGATATAGTACACTATGTTATTCATGAGTACAAAAGGAAATAATGTAAACCCTATTCAAAATGTTGCAAAATGTTTTTTTGTATTTGGTCATTTTTTGTAAGAAATCTCCAATATACCAAATATTAAATATTAAATTCCTGTTAATATTATTGCCTACGTATCTAATGACTATGAAATGAGAGTGATAAAACTATTATTTAAGTGTTATTTAAGACAGTCCATCATATTTGCGAATGCAGCCAAAATTTCAAACTTTTTCCTAGTGTATCAGGGGCTATACAAGTGTAGACATCTGCACCGCACGGCTTTTGTGGCGCGCACTATTTTGCCGGGTTTTGTCTTTATTTCAGCCGCCATGACTGACCAGTGCGTCAAAGAAGGTCATCACGATCCTCGACTTCGGTAGCATAAAAGCAGTCATTCATTAACCCCAGATCCAAAAGCGTTGACAGTATCTGACTTATAAAGTTCAGATACTGGCCGGCTCTTAAACGCTCGGGTAACGTGAGTCCCGAGGCTAAATTCATCCATAATGCCAACCGACACATTTACAGAGAATCGCTCTTGGAGACCTACACCATGTGCAACATACGGATTTCCTCGGCCCTTTATGGCTATTATAAATGGCTCAAAACCTTTTCTTTAAATTTCTTAAAAGAATAGATTAAAATGCACTTATAAATGTGGCGTAGTCCCGATTCTCACGGCTAAGTAAACTTTTGAAAATTTCAAAAGATTGAATTTTATTCGGGGTCTTCCTACAACAAAATTGAAGATAAAAAGTTTTTCTTCAAATAAAATTTGTTGTCCATAATTGGTTCATTCATTAAGGTCAAGTACATTTTTTGCTAATTTTAGTAGTTTTCGTGCAATATTGCGTGCAATTAAAAAAAACAAGATTTTCTCAAAAACAGTGCTATTTTTTTTGTTTAAACTTTTGGTAGAGATTGTGCTAAATGCATTCTATAAGGTGACAGAAACGTAATTTTAAACAAAAATGTAATTATTTTGACTGCTTTTCTCAAGTCGTTAATATTTAAATTAGCAGCAATTCGCTCATATTATTATATTTATGAGTACATGTGCTTTAAATAATGTCAAATAAAGCTTCTCGAAAACTCAACCGTTTTCTGTCAAAACTAGCTCAAAATATTACAATTTCAGAAACGCTCGAACGCCATTTTGTAATTGGTATTCAGTAAACAAATTGCCAGTTCCCGCAGGTTTACAAATATAAGTAATTGATCACAGGCGTAATAGCTAAAATGTCGTTTCTATTATACAACAAATTTATTGCGGTACGTTTGTTCCAATCTGCCGCAAACATCATATCTGATGAGTTCACTTACGTTTATGAAACATGTTTTCTTTTCGGAGAAGAGTAAGATCAAACCACGTAAGTGGTCCCTGTTGACAAATTGAAATATTGCTTCATTCTAGGTACTCAGATTGTAGTTCCAAATATAGGTGAATTACTATGTATGGTACATTTTTATTCATGTTCATCTAGATTCAATTTAATACGCGCTTTGAATAGCTTTGTGTTTTTCCTCCATATAAAAGTTTATGGCTCACTTTAATAAGCACTATTTTGATTTATATATTTATCCACACATAGCCACCGAGGAACCTGTGCGTGTAGCTGTTTCCATTGCGCATTCATATTTCGAAAAAGGGTTATTCACATCATTTTGTCTTTCAATAAAGACATCTTTTGTTAAGGAGGAGGAAGATTTGAAAGCGTTCAAATAGTTGAAAGAAAGATTATGCAATTAAAGAAATTAAAGCGATCCCCTCACTCTTATTAGCCTGTAATGTTTTCTCTCTCAAATTACCACCGCAGCCATGATCTCGACAGGCCCGCCCGGGCGCAGAAATGCTCCACTGCCTTTGTGTGCCGCAGAGCGCGACCTGGTGCCTGCGTTCGCCACCTTCCTGGCGTGCCTGTTCTTCGGCGTGGAGGTGGGCATCGTCGTGGGCATCGCGGTGGACATCGCCTTCTTGCTCTACTTCAACGCCAGACCGCGCGTCACCGTGGAGCGCATGAAGGTACTTGCCCCCGCGCTGCACTTGGGCACATCTGCGCTTGGGTTTCCCGGCATAGGTGGTTCAGGGCACCCTGACCGGGTAGACCTCCCGGCTATTCGACACTAGCTAGATAGCTAGGTCGAATTCATTCACTGTCTGGAGGAGAAATCTAGTGGTCAGCTGCTCTATTACCAGGCGAATGTCAAAGCAGCACCCTAACAAATGCACCCGGACCACACCCTGTCTTTTCTTCTTCCTTGTCCTACCAAACCTTTTATTTGCCCTCACTAACACTTCCTGTACATGCCGCATATGTCGGGAGAGCAGCCTGGGGCTTCTACTGCTTGTTTCGGCAGTAGCGGTGCCTAGTTTTGGAGAACCCCGCCAGCCGAATCTCACCGGCCGGCGGGAGAAGTTCGCCTCCACCTGCCAAAGACGAATGACCTGAGACACTAATCGATCCATCGATCCGCAGGGTCCGTCGGGCCCGTACGTGCTGGTGACGCCCGGCTCTGGGCTGCTGTTCCCGGCGGTGGACTTTGTGCGGGACGCCGTGGCTCGCGCCAGCGCCGAGGCCGACCCGGAGGCGGGGGCGGGTGGAGGCGGGGGCGCGCGCAACGGGCTGCCGTCGTTGGAGGCGGCTCTCTCCTCCGCCGCCGCCCCCGCGCCCGCCACGGCCCTCGCGCCCTCGCCCGCGCCAGCGTCCGCGCCCTCGCCCGTCGCCCTGCCGCCGCTGGTGGTGAGCTGCGCGCACATGCAGCGCGCAGACTTCACGGCGGCGCAGGGGCTGCGCGCGCTCGTGGCCGACCTGCGGCGCGCGGGGCGCAGCGTGGTGTTCGTGGGCGCCGGCGCCGAGGTGCTGCGCGTGCTGCGCCAGGCCATGCAGGGCGACCTGCTGCACGCAGACGACGAAGCGGAGCTCCAGCGGCTGCTCGCTGGTAACTACTCAGCGGCAATGCAGCCAAGAACACTTCCTCTAATTGTTTCTAACTTCGAAAATTCAGAGGTCTAGAAACTGAGACCTGCGCCATTCTTTTAAGCTTTCTCATCGCTATCCAAGGAGAAAGTTTAATAATACAATTTCCAGTCATTTTTTTAGTATACTTTGAAAATAGAATTCAGGGTTTATGTAATGAACCCCAAAATACAAAACGCCAATTTAAAACTCATAGAACCTCGAATTCATTCAAATCGATTGGGTAATATCAACGAGGGAGCAAATCAACTGAACGGTTTAGGCGCTATCGTCAATCATAGATAGATGAACAGACAGACATTTATTGCCGTCAATCGATTTTTCGGTACCAAGCACTCATAGAACACGGATTCTGACTCAACGTGGCAGAGGAAGTGATTTACTACGATTAGAAACCCGTTTTATTCCCTTTTTGTTACCGGGGCTGCTAATAAACCTTTTTCTGTAAAACAAATTGCCGTTTCCCAATGCATGATAACGCCGCTTTTTACGAAGTTTATACAAGCACTAAAAAGATAGTAAATAAGTAAGTAAATTTGCTAGTAAGATACAATAAGTAATAAATAATACAATAAGTATATAAATAATAAATTACATTTGTTAAAAATTAGTTAAGTAAAAATTTCGTACAGGTGATTTTCTGACTCAGTCATATAGTTCTTGAATGAATGGAAGAAAACCAAAACGGACATTTTATAAATTCGGAGAAAACGTATTTTTTAGGATATATTTCAGTGGAAATGTATTTTGTTGGTTTAAAAGAACAATTGAAGTTCCGTGGCTTTAAAGACGAAACAAAGGACCGCGACTTTACAGTAATATTGACTTAAATAAACAGATTTCTCAGAATTTATAAACCGTTCTGGTTCTCATCCATTCATATAACCGTTGTACTAGACGATATTCATTTTTCACAAATTATGAAGAGATTGTTTGTTCTCATAAGTTAAAATTAATTTGAAACCATAATCGCAAGTTTGCGTGATTGAAATTACCATTAGCGCATATATAAAATAATTTCAACATTATTGCGAATACTAAATATCAGAATTTTAATTTCTGTTTACAGATCTTCGCAAAGACAAGAAGAACCCTCCTCCCATGACAGAAGTTAGTCCGGACACCAACGGTGGATCTCCAGTACACGAACGTGATGATCTTCATGACACGCGATTTTAATCGCAAAGTAATATCTCGAAACAGAAAAGGGCAACCTTTTCTTCTCAGAATGTTTTCGCAAGAAAATAGATCGTGACCTCCATGAGGAATCTGGCGACATAGTGCACCTTTGATTATTCATAAACTTTTTGTGATACTATGTGCTATCTGTGGATATTTCTAGAACGAGTGTGCTTTATCTTTTTGAAAGATAGCCTTCACATTTAAGTCTCCTTGACATCGTTTCTCTCTATTTTACTTTTTTGAGAGAATTAGTTAGTGTTCCTCTGCAACTTTCAAGTTCCTATTCTTCCACTCGAACGTGTGAGAAATATTTATCGTGCCGTTATTCTTGGTACTCTCAGATTAATATATTTTTTGCATTTGTTCCTTGACAAGTAGCATTAATTCTGTTTGTATAAGATATTGTTTTAATGATTTTATCCATCTGTACTAAGTTGAGATTCATTTAAAATATCAATCCCCCTGATTGGAGATGAAAGTATATTTTTTTAATCATCTACAATAATAAATATTCTCGAATATAACATAGTGAATTTTGATTATATATAGATACAGAAATAATGTCACACAATTACATTTCTACTCACATGATTTCAATACAGATTAATAAATAAGATTATTAACTTTTAGGAGGGGAAGCGGATTGTAACCGAAGACACGGTGAAATTATGATGATTCACATTACACCAACTATTTATTGAACAATGAACACGAAATTTACAAATGACAAAATTATTATGGCTGAATGAATTATTGAGGCAAATGAAATGAAAATTAACGTGGATGAAAGCGATTTACATAATGCGTCTCTTATTATGGTGAATGATAACTGTTCAAATCCTTTTTTTATTTTTTTTATTATTGTAATTTTATTTTTGGTAGCATTGTTCAGTTTACATATTAACTGTGCAAAATATTTGATGGTCTTAATCTATCTTATACTAACTTACACTAACTTAAAATTATACATTATAATTATAAAAAAAATATACTGGGAGAATATGTTCATTGTATTCTACAGAAACTAAGGATTCTAACAATTCCAGTGCAACTGTTTCATCCATTTCTGAAGAGCATAATTCTAATACTGGAATGTTCATTAGGCAAAGTAAATTTACATTATATACATATTATTCGTCAAGATATGATATAAAATGTAATTTCGTACAAAAATCGTTGATATAATATTTAACAACTTCTATGAGTGTACAAAGTTATTAGATAACTAGTGGTGCTACAGAATGACCCCGACTTTCCCGTATTAGTTTTCTATTTCCTTTGGTCTCGGCTAGCTACTCGGACTTACCACAAACTCTTGCCAGCTGCCATCTATACACGCAGAGTACATTTCTTTGGACATTTTCTTACTTTTTCGGTTTCCTAATTAAAAAACAGAAAAATTATCTTAAGATTATTAAAGACCAGTAAAACCTCGTTTTAAATGGCAATTTTCTTTGAAAAATTTGAAACAGTTTAAAAAAATTGGTGTTAAAGCACTATTATAAATGCGAAATTTGATATTTTTTCGTAGAAAACTATTGAATTTCCGAAAAGCATCATATGACGTAATTTCAAGCGCGAGCCTCTTAAACACAACATATACAATCTACAGTAAAATGAACTAAAAAGGATTAAGACGAATGCTGAAGTTATATTATTAGAAGAACAAAATGGCTTCATAAAGGGAAGATACTTCACAGATAATAATATACACAGATATAACCAAATAATAGAGAAAAGAAGAGAGTTCAATTGAGACACGCACAATGCATTCATTGATTTTGAAAAAGCCTTCGACCGAGTAAATAGGAGAAGATTATGGGCCATGATGGATCGGAGAGGCTTTTCCAAAACATTTAATAAACGTAGCTAAAAGTTTATGTAAAAATACAAAAATCCGAATAAAAATAAATTCACATCAATCACAACCATTAAAAACCAACCAAAGATTATAACAAGGTTGCAGCCTTTCCCCAATATTATTTAACATCTACATAGACGATATTCTTAGAAAATGGAAATTAAAAGCAAAACAAGGGATTAGATTGAACAGAAATAATTATATCAATACTCTGCTACAATACTTGCAGATGACCATGTTATTATGTACGAAAAGGAAAATTATCTCCAATTGACACTCCATCAATTAAATCTAATGAGTAAAAATTATAACATGAAAATATCAAAACAAAAAACGAAGGTCATGACGTTTAAAGGAGTTTATCCGATTAGAAAAAAGACATACCTGGCAAACCAAACAATAGAAAAAATATAAAATTTCAATTATCTGGGATGTGAAATAAGTTTCTACCGGAGCCAAAATGTAAAAAATAAATTGCACAAGTTCCAATATATTTGCAAAACGCTACATAGAACATTAATAAAAAAGACTAGAAAAGACACAATGTTAAAATTTTATAAAACAATGGCAACACCAGTAGTCCTGTATGGGAGTAAAAATTGGATTCTCTCTCAAAAAGAAAAAAATGAATATTCATGCAACAGATATGACATTTTTAAGGAGAGTAAAAGGTTGTACTTTGCGAGACAAAGAAATGAATACATAAGAAGAGAATTTTAAATGGTTGTATACAACTTTACAAACAAGACTGGAAAATTTTTTTAGAAACAATGGAGCACAATAGACAATCTAAACAAGTACTGCAGTACAACTCACCATGAAGGAGTGTAGGAACATGCAGAAGATGGTTTGATATGTGAAGACGGAACAGGCAGTTGCCTAATGCTTGAAGTGCAGAAGAAGAAATTATTTTTGAAAAAACAAAAAAATACACCGAAATAAACTGTACATCATATTAAATAGTTAAATTAGCACTATACCTTCGAAAAGTTTGAAGAAAAATTTTGGAGCCGTTTTTTAGAAAATAGCTTTTCATCGTTTCTGAAAATGGGGAATTTTGAGCTAGTTTTCACAGAACACATTTGCGTTTTGACAAACGTCATTTGACATTATTTAAAGCACATGTACTCATAAATATAATAATGCAAACAAATCAAAGTTAGTGTATTAGTGCCGTTTTTGAGAAAATTTTGAAAATGTCCTGAGGGCTTTACGCAAAGTATCCCCAAATTTTGAAAAATGTTTTTCAAAATCTCAAAGTTTCAACTCAGGCCAAATGGACAAGGGTTTCTTCAATTTTGAAAAAATCCTTCGCATGGTTTAGGTGCTAGTGTTGATCACATACACTAGATGGAGGGACGGACAGAGACGGACGGACAGACGTTTTGAAAAAATAAATGTCTATCTAGAAATCGATTTCCGCACCATTACATAACTTTCCCTGTACTACCTGTATTACTCCTTATATGCGTTCGTATTCGGGAAAGTAAAAATACGATAAGTGTTTGCTATAATTTACTATGCACCTTCCTTCGGAATGTGAAGATAATGAGCTTGTGTTAACACTGATTACTAATCGTGATGAATCTGACTGCTCCAAACCCCACTCGTAATATCGCGAACGAAAATCACAACCACCCGATACGAGTCAAGAGGTTAGGAAGTCGGAAACTTGCTTTTCATTCGTGATGACGTCAATCACGAACGATGGAGATGGTCGCGAGCGGTTAAGATTAGGAACTCAGAGGAGCGAATTTAAACAGTTTCACGGGCGTGAATGTGAGTTGCACCAGCCTAGGCTGGCGGTAACAGTGTTAAGGACCGACCAAACAAGAATTATGATTTCACAACGTGTGGAAGAAATTTACTGTATATAGGAACAATATTAATCCAACTTTTGGATACCAGGACCCCACGCTTAAGTTTTTAGACCAAAATGTATCGTTTTTATCAGCATTTTCTCTATATGCGTAAGCTTAGACAGTACGTAAAAGGAAGAAGGGAGAAGAAGGATGATTGATGGTGATAAGATCAAGGGGAGGGGGAATACAGGTAGATAATCGAATAGAAGATTGGAGTGAATATCGTATAGGTTAAATTGTGAGTTACCAGTGAGGAAAAATATGAAAAGGGGAGAACAACTACATTTTAATAATTACTGCACTTAAGCACTTGATTACATGGCACAGTTACAACATCACAGTACATGATAGCTGGAGCACAGTACTAGTAAATTTCCTGGTGCGAGTGGTCTAGTGCAAATAACTAGGGGCTTTTTTTTGCGAACTAATTTTAAAAACAGAACCTTCAATTTTGTGATTTGTCGCTAAAAGGACGACAGTCATACACCGTTTCTCTCTGGTGTCGCATTCTCTGCACGCTTTGGCGCGAAGGTGATTTATTTTTTGGTTGTTTTGGCATTTTAGTAGAAAAAATTGGCCCCCCCCCCGAAATAAAAATAGGGCGTTGTTGGGTTCCAATTGCCAAATAACAAACGTAGGGAAAATGCAGACATGGAAATCATGTACAGACGAGGTTGTTTTCTTTTCCAAGTGAACGCTGAACGGTAAGGAATGCAAATATATGGCATGATTCTTACGAATGGTTTAAATCATTATTTCGAATAATGGAATATTTTTTTATTTATTTCAAATTACCTGTGGCTAATTTTATAAAAACATCTAATTTTGCTAACATAACCTTTACTAGTTTTTAACAGTTGTTAACTAAAACACATTATTACTTTATAGTCATTTTTAATAAACAACACACCTTAAATCTATATACTTATTTTTGTTTCTTATTATTTAGTATTTATGTAATACAAACATTATTATAATAAATTAGGTGTATGAATTGGTTGATGGCAATTGGAGGACCGCAACCATGTGGCTGTTTCCCATTGCAAAAACTGATACACAGAAGGTATGTGTGCATGAAACATTTCTCATGTGCCGTAGATAGTTGACTGCAAGCAGGAGAAAGGTGTGAATGCAGTCCTATCATATCCAATGATGTGCGTCCCTGAATTGCAAGAAGATAGCCACGTTAAAATAAGCCATTAATCAATTCAATTCAAAAGCACTCAGAAACATTGTTTAGAAGCATACAACACAGACAGACGTACGTATGTGTTTTAGCCTCTATTAAAAGAAATAAGAATTTTTCCAATTACCAATTTGTATTCGAGATCACAAGACCCATGGTCTCTTTTGATTTGCAGGGCCAGCTCCACCTTCTCTGAATAAGTCACGCGTCAACATGTCGTCGCAAAGTGTCTCTGCATTTCCTGGTGCAGTACAAAACCATTTTTTCACATTTTTAGTGAATACACGATTCCCTTTTTAAAGTCAATAACACCCCTCGTGGTGTTTACAGTATTCTTCTCCTCCGGCTGAGAGGAGAGAACAGACCCTGTGGAGGGGTATATTGCAGCTCACCTCTTCCCAATGTGGCTTACTGTTTCTAAGAAAAATGTTGCTTGCTCTATGTTGCATATATGAGAGAAAAACACTGATGACATGAAAGTATAATACGCCGCAATTTGGTAATCTCTTTGTATGCCTGTGCAATAAATGTTCGATTATGAAGTAGACACTATAATAGTAGTAGTTTTCATGAGTGATTGCAGTTATCCAATTCATCCCTAAAAACAATAACTTAATATTTTATATAGTCATATTTAAATGAAGATGAGAATATGTTAGTTAAGTAATGGATGTAACTGGTATAAACAGACAGCCATTAAATATCCGAATTTTTGAAGAGTCCAGGTATTTACTTTCATTAAACGCTTTTCATGATATACAATTTCTAACACAGCATTATGCATGAATATAATCCAACATGTATTCTTAGTTATGGCATATATCTCTTCTTCTAACACATTCTGTGAATGGATTTTTCTTGTGCATGTATTATTAATTGAATGCGTCAGAAATTGCAGGACTCTGTCAATATTTTTCAGTTGATCAAAAGAATAGATAGGAAATTTGTTCAATAGCAAATGTTAAATAAATCAGAAACATACTTGAATCAGACTTGGTGAGCTTCACTTTCCTACACAAGATATGTACAAAATTTGAAAATGGTTTTTGTGGTTTTTATATAATAAAAAGATAATTTTGGCAGGATAACTGTCCATGTTATGGCTGTTAATTTTTAATTCTTTCACTATTTTTCTTACATGTTTGTCTTTGTACGTATAACATAGCTCATTGGATAACATGTTGGGATTGTTACTAGGAAATCTAATATTACTTTCTAACATGTTTCAACAATGCAACAAGAACTATT